GAAATTGAAATTGAAATTGAATGAGGGATGAAAAACATCTACTGTGGAATAAGTGCACTGCTGACATCAGTTAAAAGGATAGACATATAAGCTAGTCAGATATAGCACATAACAACTTAACAACCCACGTGTCAGTGTCAACATCAGTCAATTTAGATGCCTAATTTTGTGGTATTCCTTCTTTCCAATGCAGACAAAAGCTTGTAAGCACCAGCACAAGTTTGTTTCCTTTGTTTCAGCAATGAAAAAATGTTAACGTGCATTTCGTCTGTACAGGGCTAAAAAGAGAAACCAGGAGTAGATTTAGTCTATGCGCCATGATCTTGACAGATATGAGATTTAACCATATGTAATCTGTTTGTGTGTCCCGGCAGTGACCTTGACCCTCTCCAAGCTCCTCACTGGTCAGTCCGAGTGCGGACAGCTGAAAACCCTCAGTGTTTACTGGGTAAGATGAATCCTAGGGAAGTACACTGGGAACAGGTGGAATTATTTCCACCCTTCTGGTTTCTTTTCCTTTTGGCTTGTTTTTATTTCGCCCTGTTACATTCCATTCCATGGTACCATTTGGTGCCTGTTCTGGTTTCATATGATATCAGCATCTTCACTCTAGCTTTAAAACAGAGCCTGCTACAGCCTCTGAAAGACAGTAATGTTGGCTGTGGAGGCTTCCAACAAAATTTCTTTCCAAATTAGGGAAGTTGTAGTTTTCCACTGTATATGCCACAGCAAAAACTTTCCCTGTCCCATTTCTCTCTAATAGAGTGCCTCTTCTGATCTTCTGTTTTAAAAACAATTGTACATATTTGAAATATATTTATTATTCATTGTTACAGGCAGATATAAAACTGTTAATTATTACATCTTTTAGGTTCATCAAGTGAATGTTATTTATGATTGTTAACGTAATTTTGCATTGGGAAGAATCTGTAGTCGTACTGGTCAAAATTAAATACTTACCTTACAGTCTGAAGACTCTTTCGTGCCCCCTTATTTGTTCATCAATCAGTTTAACTGTCAGAGGGACATGTTAATGTTTGTAATGATTGGCTGTGGCTCAGAGGCAGATCGGGTTGTTCACTAATCGGAAGGTTGTTTGTTCGATCCCCGGCTCCTCCTGCTGCTTGAGCAAGATACTGAACTCCGAATTGCTGTGCATGAGTTAGTTTCTGTTAGATGGGCTTTGCCATGACTGTGTGAATGTGTGTGAAAGGGCGTATATGTTTGGCACATAGTATGTAAAAGCGCTTTGAGTGGTCGGAAGACTAGAAAGGCGCAATACAAATACAGGACCATTTTACCATTTACAAGCGGACCTTGTACCGCCGTCCAAAATTCATTAGCACCTACTTACATAGCTATCCCACACATCTTAAAGCTCATATATACGACATTTACTGCTAGTAGATGTCACGCTAGTCTTTCCAACAATCACCAACTCTGGTTTGGTCCAACCAAACCCTTAATTCACTGAGTTAGAAGTGAACATATTTGTGAAACGAGTTAATGATGATGTTGGCAGCAATGTAAGCTAATCCTTGGGGACAAATCTCAGCAGCACACCAACTCCCATGTGTTTGTATCTCCTTCTTCACACTCTCACTTCTCTTTCTGCCTTGGTGTCTGTCCACTGACTCATGTTAGATAATACCAACAACTTAATAATAGGACAAAATATATCTTGTCACTGTGACAATATAGATAACTTAATGTCGTTGATGTTTCCTATTTATTATCATAAGAAGGGAATTGTTACTGCCTAATGGCATGTATAATACCCTAAAAAGCTGAAGGTTGTTGAATGTTGAAGAATGTTTTTATGTTTTATCTGTGGTAAAAAAAAAAAAATCCTTTAACAAGACTAAAGATGGATTCAGTCTGTTAGTTTGCTCCCCAGCTGTGTGGGGCAGTATAATCAGTGTAAAACACGTCTGACCCATTCTCTTTCAATGCAGGTGACTTTCTGTCAGAGTTCTTTAAGCTCTGCTGTAGGAAGGAGTCTACAGAAGAGGTTTTGGGAAGAGGATTGGCTGAAGATGAGGGCAAAGGTCAGGTTACTGGCTGTACTGTTTTAAACTGGAATGTCACTAAGCACATTCTAAAGCATGGCACCTACCACCTTCTTTTACTGGTGTTTGTGAAATGTGTGCTGGTGTTCCCTCAGATACAAATTCATCATTCATACAGTGTAAAATATTAGAGGGTAACTCCATAATGTGATTGTAAATAACTGCTGTTTTTTCCCCTGCAGAAAATAGTGACATCAGCTCGGCTTTAAATAAACTGACAGAGCCGGTGGCACCAGTGCCGATCTCCAAACTCTCCGTCTCCAATATGGTGCACAGCGCCCGGAAACACATCCGACGCCACCGACGCATTGATGAGTCACCACTCAACACCGATATACTCAACTCTGTCCTTCTGGTGAGAGTGATTCCTTCTGACACTGGTATTATTGTCCCAGAAAACAAACACGACATGGGAAACTACGGGGGGGGGGGACTGTCTTTGTTAAAAAAAAATATAAGAAGTGCCTGAAAAATGACTGGGAAAATACTATACTATCTGCATAACATACACACAAACATATGGAAAGAATATTCATCCGTTATGAACCAGTAGAAGTGTGTGGCAGCGTCTATATCTGCAGAGACCCTGCAGGGCAGACAGGATGAAGCTACACTCCAGCTGCATTCACACACAATCCACAAATATGGCTCATTCCTGCAGGGTTGTGTGGAGGCGTGGCTGTGTGTATTTGTGCTTTAGAATGTAACCTCTGGGACACAATCAGTAAATAGAGTTTTATTTTTCTGATCCACTGCTTTGTTCTCGCGAACGTCACTCCCTCTCCTCATACATTTTCTATGTAGCTCAAATAAAGGTGCCGCTCCCCGGCTCAAGAGGGGCGGCCAACTTTGAATGGTGCAGACAAATGAAATGAAAGAAATTACAGATTAAGTTTCACACAAATATACCCTGTGTGCTTCTCTGTGTTGCTAAACTGTCATATTGCAATTATTTTGACAGATATTGCGATATGATTCATGATTAGTGGGAATGATTATATTTGCATTATGATTTTAATTTTCTCTAAAAAGGGGGTCTACCAAACAAACATGTGACAAGCATTGTCACAGAATCAAGCATTCAATGAACCAATATTATTGTGAATGTGTTTTTGAACTGCACTTTTATATTTAAGTGTTAATGTGTTTTTGTTTTTTGGCATGTGTCAGTACGTCTTTCCAGATGCTGCTGTGGAGAAGTCACCAGAGAATAGCAAGAATAAACCTGTACAGTCTAACGCCTGTGGGAAAGCCGAGCAGGATAAAAACTCAGACTATGTATGTTTACCACTCACACACTGACATCTAAGCTTTTAAGTCAAGTCAGTTTTGTCTAGAGTTTGAGGATGCAAGTTCTTAATAAGGAATGCTTAATGTAGCCCTTCAGGTACCCCCTTTGAAATATTTTCTTAGCCAAGTACCCCCTGACCAGCACAAAACATTTTTGTTAGAAATAAAAATGCCTATATGAAGAGATACAATACAACACTGCACTATCAGTGTCTGGTCTGTTAAAGAAAACTTTAATGCTACATTGCAAATCGTTAAAATCCATCACTAAAATCATGGCAAACCAAATTTTTGTCATCCATGCAATAACATGACAGTATTGTAGTTTCATTGAGTTGGAAACAGAAACAGGAGCTTCACTTAGTATATTCTTTCATTCTCTGGTATGCAACTGCAGTCAAATGTGGTTTTATTGAACTTACACTTACATGTTTTATTTAACTTATCATGATATCATTTTTTTATGATTAATGCATCACAGTCTCAAGTACCCCCTGCACCCTGCGTACCCCCATTTGAGAAACACCGATGTAGCATACACTTTCAAACCATAAACACATTGGAATATAGAATTTCACAATCACTGCATGAACTATTGCAGTCATAATTCTGCATAATTCAAAATTCTTCTGTAAACACAATCCCTATCCCAATCCTTTATTTTCCCCTGTGTCCAGAACCTTTTTCTCCAGCTGAAGTCAGCACCCATTGACAGTCTGACCTACCGGCTGGCGCTGTGTGTGTGTCTGGTCAACTACAACCACGGTGGGCTGCGAGCCGTCGCCCACCTCTGGCAGGAGTTTGTCCTAGAGTTGCGCTACCGCTGGGAAAACAACTACCTCATCTACGGGTAGCCACAGTTTAACATTTTGAGATCTGCATCTCGAAGAATTAAATTTTGTGATGTCATGGCACATCTTGATTCTCTTGACTCACATGCAGATTTCATTTACACATTTTGAGTATGACTATTACTTACTATTACTATTAATAATACTATCAATCTGAGTATGCAAACAGATAATATAATAATAAAAGATAACATATAGACATCCGAGTGTAAAACATCTAAGATAGACATCTAAGGTTATAATTTCTGAAAGGCCTCACTTGTTGAACAGGGTTCCCCAGCATCCTGGAAAACCTGTACATTTAGAGTGTTTTCCAGTCATGGAAACACCTGGAAATCGATTAAAATTACCAAATATCATGGAAAATAAGTTATTACTTATTACTATTTTCTGTCAAATAACCCTGTTGAAGCAGTTCAAGTAGTAGTTGATGTAGTTGCTCTATTAATATATATTCTTATCTCCTCCATGTGCTTCCTGATCTGCAGACTGGCTGGTGGACCTCCTGATCTTCGCTGTTGCCTTTTGCATCAGAAGCTCCAGGTAGCGTACTGTGTGTGTTTGACCCACGTGGATAGATCAAATTTAAAAATACACAAGACACATAAATCAGTATCTATGTTTCTAATTATTTATTTCATAATAATTATCCATGTTAATGCAGCAAATGTAAAACTACAAAAAAACTGTGTAAAATTGTCCAACAATAAATTACATTCATAATAACAGATAAATGACTAGGTATCGCCCTAGGCAAGATCTTAAACTCCTGTCAGTGTACATGATTTGCACTGTTATTTTAGAAAACAATTTGGGTTATATATTGTGTTTCCTCATTACAAAAACCAATCAAGCCACTTACATAAACTCTCTGTACTAATCCTTGTGATAGCACAGGATTTATTTGTATTATTTAGAGGAAACACTTGTCCGCTATTTAAATGATCTCACTTTATAAACTTGAATCTGTGTGGAAGAACTCACCCAAAAGCACAGGTTGTCACTTAATTGTTTTCAGAAACCACTGTACAAGCTGTGTGTAGCATCTCCTTTTGTATGATGCACACAGCTTGTACAGTCCTGCTGCTGATGGTTATAGGTATTTAACTGAAAAATATCTTAACACACTCTCCAAACAGTATTGGGAAGAATCAATAACATATCTACTAGGCTTTGTTCTTTTGTGATCTCTGAGTGCCTCAGCCAACAAACCATGACAACTGCTTGCAAGGTGATGTGGGCAGACAGGAACATAAGTAAACATTGTCTATTGAGAACATCAGTCTCCCTCTCTCTCCTCTGGCTGTTGTGCACCCCTACAGCCCCCTAGTCCCTCTGCCAAATTAGCACTGGCAAATATTGTACATTTTGCTCGACTACATTTTTTAAAATTATTATTTTTTTTCATTTTATCTTTATTTAGAATCACATATCAGCACTTAACACATTCCGCATAGTTTGATAAAAACATACAGTGATTCATCTTTACATTTTTTTAAAAAAAATATACAATTATGAACAGAACATGGGGTGTTTCAAAATGGCAAAGAGAAAAAAAAACATACTAAGAAGAGAATAAATATGAGATTACAAGCAGTTAAACAAAAGAAGGGCGTTTAGAAGCAATATACATTTTCACAACTACATGTATTTAATAACCTTTAGCGGACAAAAAAACGTAACAGTACCGATAATCGGAGAAATACTCCATGTCGGATCCAATAATCAGCTAGGGTGATAAACAATCTATTCATGGATGTATTCCTATACATTTCAAATATAAAACAGCATCAAATTATCCCAAAATCATTAAAAATCTTCCACAGAGCGGAAGGGAACAACCTATAAACATTCATAACTAAATCATAATTAAGACCAGCATTATCCCCTATGCTGAAAATAAAGTTACTACAGCAAATATAAGTTAAAGGAGAGGTCCAATTAAAAATCATACCATCTTATACGTACACATTGTTAAAATGTAAATACAGAATTTACTATCTAATAAGTGATGAAACTGATGAGAATATTTATCACTGGATGCACTAGAGGAGAAGTGGCAGAGCCTTGCACTTCGATAGTCATTAATTAAGTCTTCAACTGCAAAAATGCATCCAGAATATGATCACTCGGCTTCCCTCATCATAAAACTTTTAAACTCATGGCTGTTTTTTAGCAGTGGCTCCATTCCCACTCTTTCTGTATGGTTGTGTTGTTTCTGAAAAAAGCTGTAAGGAACATCAGCGTCAGAATAACAACAAGCCATGACTATAACAGAGAGATGAAGACAGCAGTGTGTCTGAAAAAGCCTCTATACCCTCATAGATGCTGAACTGCTGCATTGAGAGGAAGAGGGCCAGAGACGAAGCTCGCAAGGTGCTGGAAGGAAGCAAAGAAAGAGAGCGCAAGGTGTCCGGCGGTGGTCAGAACGGCCGGCCCACATCGGAGTCTACGACCGCATCCGCATCAACGAAGGAGGTGTCTCCAGGGAAATCCTGGGACTCGTGGAGCGACAGCGAGGATGAGTTCTTTGAGTGCCTCAGTGACCAGGGGGAGATAGAGGCTCCACACACTGAGGGAGAAAAGGACGGCAGTAAAAGTAAAGCAGAGGGCAGACTGCACCCTTACAACAACTTGACTCTACTCAACTCTACAGAGCCTCTCTACATTCCTGTCACACAGGTCAGAATCCCTCTGTCTCACTCATTCACACACACATTCATTTTTGGTTTTGGTTGTTGCAGAGTTTGAAATCCAGTCCTGTGTACTTGAACAACAAAAGAGCAGAGACTTCTGTGTAAATGACATTAGTTCATTGCTGCTGCGTGTGTGTATGCGTATGTGTGTTTGATTTCCAGGAACCTGCTCCAATGACTGAGGATCTGTTAGAGGAGCAGTCAGAAGTACTGGCCAAACTGGGCACATCAGCTGAAGGTACCCACCTCCGTGCCCGGATGCAGAGTGCCTGTCTGCTCTCTGACATGGAGTCCTTTAAGGTGAGACAGGCACACATTCAGGCTATACATGCTGTGCTGTATTTATCGAGCAGTAGCAGCAGGCTAGAGTCTCAGCTTGCATCTCCTTATTGCATGTCCATTTAAGGGAGGCTCATGCAAATAACAGAGGAGTAGACATGTTCAGAGGTTGATCATGTATTCCGCTAGATTTACAGTGGTCATGCTATTTGCAAAGAGCCACAAGGAAGGTTATATTGGGAAAAGAAACGATGTATAGCTCCCTTGTGGCAATTCAAAATAAATCAGGAAATAAATAAAGAAGGGTATGATAGTGAGCTAGACAGCAGGTTTCTTTTGTGGTGAATGGAGATAATGTTTAGACTGTTACAGAAACAAATTGCGGACATTTTGCTTTGTGAAATAATGCCAGTAACTGAGTCATTCCAGCCAGAATTCATTTTCCAGCTCCTGCTAAATGTTTTAGCACTTGGCTCATTACATGGCTCTCGATTAAATTATCCTTGATCCTAGAGTTCTGATACTGATACCAGTATCAGAAATTCCTCCAATAGTGCCTGAAATGTGGTATCTGGCATCAGCGTACATGACCCACCCTACTCTGACTGTGACTCTGAGAAACTGTTTAACCTACACCATGCCATACAACGATAGCAATCATACAGGATATAGGCTTTGTAGTATATGCCTGTTAAAAAAATATTTCTATGTACACATTTATTCGACAATAGACCAATCGGATTGGTACTCGGTATTAGCCAATACTCAATGTTCAGGTATCGGAATCGCTATTGAGAAGGAAAAAATGGTATTGAAACATTTCTACTTGATCCACACAGACTGAAACTAGAAAGGCATTTGGGCAGCACAGTCGTCTGCCAAGGCCTATAGTCCAGTTTTCTGTGATATCCTAATCTGTACACCATTCACCGTAATTACGAGCAGTATGTGCAGGTTGGAAAATCCGCAACTCCAGATTAATTGTGAAAAATCCCATGCCTGATTGCTGATTTCTTACATTCCTGATGCATTGTTTGTACAGTGATGTTTGGGGTTGTTTTGTGATATGTACATAGTTGCAGCACATCATTTACATTTATTCTGATGGGTTTGTGTATGCACAACGAATTTGCTTCATTTTGCAATAGACACTGGGGGGAAAAAGAAATGTGTTAATCTGCCCTGTGATTTGTAACCAGACCTACACTGAATGGGCTCTTGCCTGGCCCATGCTACACCCTTCCACCTGGTTTAATAAAAATCGGGCCTGTAGTTTTTCCATAATCCTGCTGACAGACAGACAAACACACAAATGACAGCAAAAACATAACCTTTGAGGCGTAATAAAGTCGTTTTCCTGTCTCTCCACAGGCAGCCAATCCAGGCTGTGTTCTGGAGGACTTTGTGCGCTGGTACTCACCCAGGGATTATGTGGAGGAGGAGGTGGTTGATGACAAGGGTAACACAGTGGTGAAAGGTGAGCTTAGTGCCAGGATGAAGATCCCAGGCAACATGTGGGTGGAAGCTTGGGAGACGGCCAGGGTCACACCTGCACGCCGCCAGAGAAGACTTTTTGACGACACTAAGGAGGCCGAAAAGGTAATTTCAAATCAAAAGACACTGACATAACTAAGTTTATCAGTATCTTAAAAAGAGAGTGCCCTGTATCAAGTGTGTTGCTGAGAGTCATGTTAGCCTGTTCAGATGTTACAGATGTAACTAGCTGTCTTTTCAGGTTCTGCACTATTTGGCACTGCAGAAACCTGCAGACTTGACCCGACATATGCTGCCCTGCATTCTCCATGCTGCTATTCTGAAGTTGAAGGAGGAAGGTGAATGGAGATTGCTTTCTCATGACATCAAACATTAAAACATATGGGTCATACACACCCATATGATGGGCTGCATTGTATATCTATCTTTCTGTTGAGCTTAAAGTGGCTACCTGGTGGGTTCAGGGGTGACAAACAAAGAAACAAGCTGTCAAAGTGCCTACTGGGATGCCTCTATGGATATAACATGCAGCCTAATGTGCAAGAAAAACGTGATAAAATGCCATCTAGGCTGCCCTACATGCTAAGAAACGAAGTGGCATCTATAGTTCTCATGATGCAAGACAAAATTCTGAAACATCTTCCATTAAAGTATACGATGTAATTTATTGATTGCTGTCCTCCCCAAAGAGCAACTGAATGCTGAAAATATGGAAATGACTGCAGATTAATGACTTCAACTAAGGGAAAGAATACAGTGTGTAACACCAGGAGTGTGGGAGTACAGTCAAACCTAATGAGTTACTTACTAAAACTGAGGAAACCAATTGACTTTAAACCATTTGCGTTTATTAACTCAAACAATTTTAATTCATTTTACATTTTTGATTTCAGTACAGGTAATTTAAGTATTTATTGTTAGGTAACAAATTCCTTTCTGTTAATTGAACTTAAAACTATTATACAAATTTTTATCATTTCTCCAAACTTATTTAAAATGTGTTGACAGAATTTATAGTTAGACTAACTTAAATGCGTCTTCTTTATACAAATTATACCACTTAAGTTGTCTGTGTTCTTCCACTAAAGCAAATTATTACATTACTCTTCAAAACATTCAACGTATGATAACAATTTACAATCAACTATGAAAATAGCATCAATCTAATTGTTACTGCAGTGATTCAGTTGTTAACAATAGCCTACATGTTCTTTACACTTTAGGGGATCATTAGGAATTATTTGGATGCATACTTGGGCATGTGATGATTCATAAACTGATATAAAAACTAAAATTGAAAAAAAAAATGTGTAATGATATAAAGTCAATGTAAAGAACATGAATCAATTGAACAAACTGGAATTATACCACAAATACTTAAAATACTGCACAAATTTAAGTGCACTCAAAACAACTGAGATTCATTTTTGAGTTGGGTTAAATTTATGGGAATGAGTTAAGTTATGTCAAGTTACTTCTTTTATATAAGATGGTGTTGGGTTTTACAGTGTAGTATGTTATATTGTCTTGTTGACTTTGATCCATCACCTGCTTACTGTTACTCCTAAAACCTTTGTTTTTTTCTTTCTCCTTCTCTCCTCTGTGGCCTCCTGATCCCCTCCCTAACAGAGGCAGTAGAAGACATTCCATCAGTCAGAAAAACCATCCAACAAGCTACGAGTCAAGCCAGCAAGTTGCTGCATACCCCCAACTATGACTACAAGAAGTTAGAGGTCAGTGAGAAATGAACTCCACAAGCTGCTCATTCTTACTAGGATAAGACATCTTTCATGCCCCTCACTTTGTGTTTTACTTTTACTGCTGGAGTGCAAATTTTATGCACTTGAAAAGTTGATTGTCAAAATGAACAGCTTTTTTGTAGATGTGAAGTTCAGAATCACACTTTTCAGGAACATAAATGCAAGTATATGCTTTTCTTACTGATGATACATGTATTATCATTCTTATCAACAAAAGCTTTAAGTGCAGTTGTCCCCCCAGTTCATTTAATACAGACGTGATAGTAGGGTCAACAGAAACAGTTCATCAGCAGCAGCCATGTTGGTTGTGTATGGAAATGCCGCTCCTCTGTGCAGTCATCATATAAAACCTGCCTCCCATATTAAATCCAGGACCGGGGCAAAATCTGTCTGAATGGGAGGGGGCCATACGCATCTGCCAGAGCTCACAGTTCCCAGGCTGGACTTTCTACTCCCATAAATACCTTTTACTCCTTGTTTAAATTATTCAGTCTCTTACCAGTTTAGTACTCACTTCTGCAGAACTGAGTCACAGCTGTTTTAAAACCCACTCCAGTGAAGAGACATAATAAGTTTGAAAGTGATTTTATTTGGGTACCATTATGAGTTTATTCATAACAAACTGATACCATGTCTAGACTGAAACTGACACAGTGTAAGCTACCATATTCACTTGAATTATTAGCATTACCTTGTGGGCTAGAAGGCAGAAAACCTTTAAAATGTGGACATCAAAAGAGTCCTCAAATTAAAGACTGGCAGCAACATACATAAGTACATTGAAGAAAAACTGAAATAACCCTGACGCGCCCATTACTTGTTAATGTGTTGGAGTCGAAGCATACTTCTTGTGAAGTTTGTCAAGCCCCTGCTCTGACAGCATGTCTGTGTGACCTTTCTCTATCTGCAGGATTTCATTAACCAGTTGATGGCCATGGAGACGGTCATCACCCGAGCTCGCTCACTAAAGGCCAAGTTCGCCATGTGTGAGGGTGAGAAGGGGGAGGACCCAGATGAACTAGAGACGTAAGTTCCACAGATTTATTTGAGCAGCGTCTTAGAAAAGGCTTTGCTGTTTCAGGGAGGATTGTGCTGAGAATTGAAACCCCTCCTTAAACACATACATGAACATAATTTGTCTTAAAAAAAAATCATCAACCTAGTATTGTGAATTGTACTGGAACAGAATCCGGTTTATTGTCAAGTAGGTTTTCACATACATGGAATTTGGTAAATTGATGCATAATACTTAAACAGATAAAAATAAATATAGATAAAGTAGAGACAATAAAAAAAGTTGAGTGTATTGTTACATCCCTGTTTGATGTCTTTCTGCAGGTTTGTGAGCTCCCTGCTGGAGGAACCAGAGGTGGTGGTGGTCGGAGCTGGCCAGGGGCCGGCTGGCAGCATCATCCACCGTCTGTTTGTCAATGCTCAGAGGGTAAGCAGCCTCTCCTTTGACACCGTTTACCAGGGGCTGTTATCTCATTTTATGGTAGCCTCTTACCATGTGAAAAAAAGTATTGTAATTTACGGTAGGGTTTTCAGGCTTTTCAAAATTGGACACTAGTCACAAATGGGTTGCTTCTGCTGATCATTATGCTTCATGACCTTCTCTCAGCCATTCATCTGCTCGATCTGGTGTCTTGCAGCTGACTTTAAGTATAAATGAATTTCCCATTTACATGAGGCTGGCATATCTATAGTGATACCAATACACAGAATCAGTATCAGCACTGATACTGAACTATTAAAGCTGGAGTATTGTGTAATTTTTATAAAAAATAACTATGTGGGGTGCCCGGTTAGCTCAGTGGGTAGAGCTGGTGACCCATGTACTGAGGCTTGAGTCCTTGCTACAGCAGCCTAGGGTTCAAATCTGACCTGCGGGCCTTTGCTGCGTGTCATCTCCTCTCTCTACCCCCTTTTCCTGTCCGTCTCCAGCTGTCGCTATCAAGTAAAGACAATAAAAGCCCCCAAAAAAACTTTTTGCCATATTTGCTGAAACTTTCTCTATATCCTGACAGTAGTACACGAGACCGATAATCTGTGAACACCTGAACGGGAAACAACTAATCAGAGCCAAGAAAGATACGAACCCTTTGGGTTGGAAGCTTGAAGATAGTTGATTTTTGAGTCTTATTCTCAGGGTCCCAGAGCAGTATTTGACACCCTGGGAATGAGACTAAACAATCAACTATCTTTCTCAGCTCTGATTGGTTGTTTTCGTTTAGGCTTAGTGGAATAAAAGTTACCTACTGCAGCTTTAAATAAATGCAGTATCAGTTCGGTTGTCACTGCAACATAATCCATCAACAATACACCCATATAGCTTTCAGCTGCCTGCATGATAACTCACAAAGTTGTTGCTAAAATGAAAGACAAATTAAACACACAATCACTTTTACAGTGCCTATAATCGTGGTGCATCTTGCATGCAGTATTGCATGCACACATGCAGTAATGACGTTGCAAAGCCTGCGTGGGCTGTGGAGCATGTCTTCCCTTCCACTGTCCATTTTCCTTTTCAGTGACACCTGCTTTTATTTATGTCTTCTTACGGGTGTAAGAAATCATTTCTGTAATGGCAGCAGATTTCACCAGGAATTTGGCCTGGGTTCATCAGCCATAGACCCTCGCTTGTGCGCATGAGGCGTTTAGTTAAATTTTTTACTGCAGAAATGGTTGTTTCTGCACAGCATGTGTCCTCACATCCACCTTATAACAGGTAAGGAAAACTCTGGAGTAAATATCTGCAGGAATAGGAATCATTAAGTCAAGAAAGTTGATGACTTTTACTCCTCGTGACGATGCCGTGACAGTTTATTTATTTGAATAAAAATGAAAAAGACCAAAAATACCAAAATGTCAAAACTGCTCAAAGCAACCAAATTAAGACGTGTCTGATGGGCTTGCCAAAATAAATACAAAAAATAGGGCTGTAGGATCTTTGATTCTTCTCTAAGAAAATAAACCTGACTAACAGAAATAATGCCCTGATAATCAAACTACCGGTCTCATCAAAAAACACTAAGAAACCACAACAAACGAAAGTCTACTTCACCGTGACTCCAGTCACAAAAGCAGCATGCTCAGGCTGGAAATGGAATAGAGGGACTGAGCCAAAGCGGCTCTTTCTTTATTGGTTTCCTAGATGAGGAGATCAGCCACACCTCAGAGGAGAACAGAACAACATTACTCAACATGCACCAGCAGGGAGGAGCATGTAGCATTCCTTGTCCTGAAAGCAGGACCAATATTGTGTCTGTCTGAGAATCTTGTGGCCAGTTGGGACTGATTTCCTACTCTGAGACACATTGCAGTTTTTGCTCCCCCTGTAGGTTATCACAGAGGCTTAAGTCACTTCTTCTTTAAGTCTGTGAGAAAAAAAATAAAGTGGATGTCTCAGAGGGAGATGGAGATACTTGTTGAAGATTTCCACATTGACACAATCACTGTACTGTTGTTGCTGCATGTTGTCGTGTCACAATTTTACTAAATTTTACACTGATTCCCCCTTAAGCCACTGACTCTGCTCAAAACATCTGATGCTCTGAGTTCATATCTTCCTCCATTCTAGGTTGTGTGACATTGTTGGTACCAAACAATTGAACTTTAGTTTGTTGTGTAATAGTGTCTGACTCATTTCCAACCAGTGGAAATATCTACAGACACTAAGCGTGTTTTTATGAGCACTAGCATCCTGGTTATAAACCAGGATGCTAGTGCTCATGTAAGCTCACTATGATGCAGTAACAGTCTGTTCACATGGTAAATGCTGGCATTTGAATGTATTTCTATATAAATAAATGTGGGGTATCAAATCTAAATGCTGGGGACCCCTCCAAACAAACACTAAACATCACATGACCTAATGCTTAGCGAATAGTGTGAGCGCCACTGTTGATCCTTAAGATTCCCTGCACCCCAAAAAAAGGGAAAAATGGGTCTGACTCCAATTCTAAAATGTCTGTTGTCTGTGTGCGTGCGTGCGTGCGTGTATGTGTGTGTGTGTATGCTTAATAGGCAGTCAAGTCAGACCCTCTTGAGTCACAAATATGTGCTTTTTCTTTTTTGTTGTACGTTTCCTCCATTCGAAATGTTTTTTGTGTTGTTTCTCCCCCTGCTGCTTACGTCAAGCTGGCTGACTTCACCAGTGATGAGGTAACCACTAGCAATGAGACTTTTCCTCCCAACTACCAGTATATACCCCTACCCCTCTACAGTCCGTCAGTAGCATTCCAACAACAAACACGCACAGAAACACACAAATATGTATAAATGGGCTCCAGTAGTCTGTGTGCACTAATACTTAAGTTCTTGTACTAATTCAAAACCCCTAAAATTTCCAAATTTAATTATTTTGAGTTTCAGTTTTGGGGTTGCCAAGTAACGCAACTTCTGTACAGTTTCTGTACTTATTTTGTTGTGCAGTATTTGTGCCCTTCTTACAGTCAAGACTTTAGAATCTTGAGTGGAATTGGGTATAGTCTGTGTATGGTATTTATTGTGATTTTTATAATCTAAGGTCTGTTTCCATTGTTGTCATTTAAAGGTGATGAACCCACAGAGAATTATCACCAACTCTGCTGTTCAATTTAGCTGGAAGCTGTTTTTTTATGAAAAAGCTCTACACTAAAGCGCACTGTGTGCTAAAGTAGCTGGAAAAGGAAATTCTAAATTCTAAAGAACAAAATATTTTTCTCTGGTGGGTTGAGAAAAAAGATTTAACAGGTGGACACGAATACCCCCTTTCCACCAACGCGAACTTAGTGCTAGTTCTTGGCTGGTGCTACTTCCAGTTCAGAGTTGCTTCAACCTGAGAACCTTCTAAGATTTGGGTTAGGTGTTGATCAAAATAAAAAAATAGATAGTAGAGTGAAACATGTATCATGGTGGACTTTTACAAAAATTGCATTTTTGTAGCACCACCAGCTGGCTGATTGTGCTCATGTTTCTGGGGAAGCATGTGCACATTATTTCCAGTTATAGCGCAAAGTTTCCAGCTCATTGCAGATTTTTGAGCAATTTGAGCCTGAGGTTGTGGCTGTGATCAAGACAAATAATATAAATAATATAGTTTGAACCCTTATGAGTGCAAATATTGGTCTGTGTCTTCTGGATGTGTAAAGACAATGCTCACACATTTGCCATAACAAATTTATGAGGTGAGAATGTGGAAATGAGCTAACAGCTTATTTTGTGGCCAGCTAGTGGTTAAAAAAAACAATGATTGCAGCTTTATTAAAGAAACACCTGTTCGTGGGAAAACCTGGACAGTATAAGAGCATTACCTGAACTAGTATTGTTTTGGACCCTACTGTTGATTGAACGTACAAACATACATACATTATATGTACATATGTAAAGATCTGAACTGTGGACACACATAACCACTCCTATAAGGTATAAAACCCTTGCAACCCATAGACACACCCACATAGCCACAATGTCCTCCAAAGCTTCTATCCATTCCATAGATGACAGCACTTAAAACAAAGACCTCTTTCTAACAGATCTTAACAAAAGTGTCTGTATTGTATCTTCATTTCCTCTCATACTTCTCTGATGTGACCTGCATTGAAAGGAGAGTCTTTTTGGTGACATGGAGGTTTGCACAGCAGAATATTCTATATATATATGTGGTAGTCTTGTTGCTCCTGTGTTGCACTTAGAGTTTGATTCCCTATAGCTCCAGCTCAGATACTTTGTGTCTTGGCACTCTACCACTATAGATAGATTTATCCAAGAAGCACATAGGACCAAATCACTCCACTAAGCCACTAGATACTTTTTCTCCTCCCTTTACTGTCCTCAGATTCATTCCTTTATTGGTATATGTGTTCAGCTTCCCCTTTTCCTTCCTAAGTACAGTAGGATGTAGTAAATCTGAGTATTTTAACCTTCATGCTGGTAAATTTGCTGTAATCATCTTTTTTGTATGTTTCCTTTTTTGTTTGTGCATGTAAACAACATATCCTGGTTGCAGAATGTGGTTAAAGTTTATTACGCATTGGTTTTACGTAGGTTTAAAATAAAACCTACGTTGTAATAAACCATAGTTTCCTTAAAGCTGACACTGGTTCAATTATGGCCAACGCTATTAGCACCCAGGTGTCAGCAGCCAACCATGCTTCAATATTTGCATCTTGATCTTTTCCTAAACCTAACCAAGTAGTTTTGTTGCCTAAACCTAATTAATCACTGTCTGCAAAGTCACATCTTTGACTCATATCATGTACATAGCAGAAACAGCAGCTAATAAAGAATATATTAATGACTCACACTTTACTGTGAAAGTTAAAGTGACTGGATGATGGTAGAGGTTTTCACACATCTGAAATTGACCCAATCTTAAATGAAAAAGTGAAAAGCCTTCCCAAGCCCGCATTAATTCATGCATCGAAGACCGGTTTAATCCCAAAGAATGTCAGACCTGAGGATAATTGGATTCAGGGCTGGCATAGTGTTGCAGTGATAAATGCTATTGCCTTACCCAATGACACTATTTAATTAGTGAACAGAGCTTTCGGGTCTGAGAATTGAGGCCAGTGTGGGCGTGTCTTAAACTTGCATTCTTTCTAATAGCCACCAGGGGGAGGCTCCAGCCCGGCTGCATTTAATGCAAGGGCAAAATGAGCCTGCTCCTGACTTGACGTATGAGCTCAGTAAACAGTTTCCTGATGGATTTATGGTCTCAATCTCTAGGTTCAGTCTTCTTCCATACAGCTTGATGTTCATTTAGTAACTGATGGTCCCATTTAGAGTAAAACATTAAAGCAGGGTATGCTTTAGGGCGGGGCTACCTTGTGATTGACAGCTCATTCTCAGTGAGTTCGTCCAGCTCAACACACCAAACTCAGATCAA